GCAAAAGTGTCCTGGGTAATACTCATTATTAGGCATGTTCAGGAATCCCCTTTCTACTGGCAAAAGTTGTTGCTTCATCATCATCATCATCATCATGGTGTATTTATTTACTTTTCCACAAAGGGTTTTTTTGCTATCAGAATGTTTTCCAGGACTAGTAAGTACGAAAAGAAAGAAGCATAAAACTTCCCTTCAGGAAAACAAGTTTCCTTTCAGATGAATTTCACAGATAAGCGCACAGACGACACACACACACACGGACGATGGTTTTCAAAAATATCAATGTACATTAATTTTTATTTAGGCAGGCCCTCTTCCTGCGTAAATTTTTTTTTAATTGTAAAGCTCTCATGGGTATCCCCTCACCCACTTTAAGATATTCATTCTATTCATGTCTATGTTTATGTGTCTTCTTTGATAAGAGAAAAACTTAGATTTAGTTTTCAGAGATATGGGTAGGAAGGTATGGAGGTATGGTGGATAGATGCTATATCAAATGGAGAAACATAGAAAATATTTAATAAAATGTAGGCATAAAGGGATTGAACAGTGATTCCTGTTAGCTGCTGCTTCTGTGTGGTGTTTAGTGATCTGATGAAGGACGTATAATAACGCTGTGCAGTTAGGGATTTGCTCGGCTTGACTTTCAAGCGAGTGTAGTGACAGCATGAATCTCATCACAACCCACAGGTCTTTTTTGCATTAGTAAGTACAGTAAGCCCTGGCTTTATTATCAAGCATGTTGGAGGGAGGTAAAGTGTTTCATAGAAATCAATTGTTAATGACTCAATACTTAGAGTCTGTTTATTGAACAAGAGCATAAGCAAAGACTTAGAACATTTTGTGATTAGCAATAAAGACACTGAGGCACGAAGCTGACATCTTTGTTCAGAACATCTGGCAAGATAATCTGACTCCTTCAAGAGGAACAACCCTGTCTAAATCTGAATTATTCGCTTTATCACACTAGTTAAATGTTCTCATCTCTCCCTTGGATAGAGGAACTGAAAATGCATGTTAAAATAAACCATATACTATGACTAGCTCCTTCTGTATAGTTATACGTGCCATAAATTATATAGGGTTCTACTTACTGAAGGCAGGTTCAGTCATTGTCAGTGAATGTTTCTGTCATCATAATGAGTTTCCATTCTTAGTACCGTTCTACATATTATTTTATGTAGGTACCTAAGTAGGAACTGACTCCAAGGCAACTTTTTTTTTTTTCTTTTTTTTTTAAGGTGAGTAGATTCTTCCTCGCTATTTTTAAAAACTTATTTGAGGGCCCTCTGTAGACTTCAGACTTGGTTAAGAATATCTGCATCAGGTTAAGAATATTTTCATCGGGTGTATTGCATGTTTGTGTAGAAACATGCACTTATTTCTTTTATCTCCAGATTAGAATATAAGACGCATGAGGGCAGGGACTTTGTCTTACTCACCCCCCTCTAGATCTTAAGAGCAATTTTCAGCATAGTGGGTCCTCAAAAAATTTAATGAATGAATGAATGAGCCTGTGAAAACAAATTAATATTTACAAAATCTGAGATATGCTACAACCAAGTTTCCATCAGGTACTTCTAGTGGCTCTCTCCCATGGGATAGCACAGGGCAACTCTCATCACCTTCCTGAATCAATCACAGTTCAGGGTCTGTTTCTTAGCATGACAGCCTTTGAAACCTGATTCAGCACACTCAGAGAGAGTCCACTTCTCAGGGGCAGAGTCAAATTAACAAAACCAATAAATAAAAACAGAATGTCAATCTATTAGTTTTAAATGAGGAATAGTAAATTACAGAGGAATTGAAAAGATTGGTGGTTCGAATCCACCAGCTGCTCCTTGGAAACCCTAAAGGACAGTTCTACCCTGTCCTATAGGGTCACTGTGAGTCGGAATCGACTTAATGGCAACGAGTTTGGTTTTTTTTTGTGGTATGATTAGAGGGTCCTCTTCTGGTGGTCAGGTTACACAGGCAGTATTCATTAATTGAAGAAAAATTTGCATTTCAAATTACTGTCTCAGATAGTACAAGTTTTTATGATCAACATATTCTTTTCTTATAGTAGGATCTATATAGGGAGGTAAACCATAATCGGAAAGTTGTCATTTGAGTTTAGAATCTGAAAAAGAAGGATTAGAAGAACTGAATGCTTAATGATCCCAAGCTCAGATACCCTGATGAGCCCATCTCCCAGAGGATCTGAACCTCAAAGTCTGTTGATCAAAACTCCTACATCCACCACACATCAGAGGTTCCCAGGCCTGTAACATTGGAAACAGTCATTCTGATCTGGTCGTCTTTCTCTCCCCTATATAGTGTCAACATTTGCCTTTGTAATCCTTTATTGTATTGAATTCATTTGACTGAACTTTCTTTCTTTAGCAATGAAAATATACTGAATTGAGTAAGAGTAGAATATTTCAGATCAGAGAGTTATTCCATCCAAGGAGTCTTTAATTATCTTTCCTATGATCTACTGTAATAGTATTTATTCCAGTTTAACTCTGAGAGGCTCCCAACTGCAGCTGTCCCTCACCCCAAAACTGGTAAAAGTTACCGTAGCATCGTGGAGTTACACTGACAAATGGAAAGAAAAATTTAAAACCGCATTAATTAAAGTCCTGCTTACACTTCCATTTTCAACTCGAATGAGTCTGAAGTGCCATAGGTATGCCTCCAATACCTTCCAGTACACATCTATCTTTTTGTAGGAAACTACAACCTCAGTCAGTATTCATAGAAAATGCCACTTTTAATTGAGGCCTAGGGTATTACTTAAGCTTACCATGTTTATCTTTCACATCTACTATAATTAAAATTCATATGTTCCCTATAGCTAATACATACTTTGGTTCCAAGGTTTTCTCTTTCTTATTCTGACCTAAAAAAGAGTGGCATCTGCTAAATCACTAGCACATCCCTGGACCCTTCTTAATTTTAATAAAGCTTTATCCAAAACATTTAATTTTATGATAGAGAATACATGGGGAACATGCCACTATTCCTCACTCTGTTATGCAGGGCAGCATCACTACTAACGATACTCTCTACCCCATCAACACTAGACTGGGGCTTGCTTCTCAGCCATGTGTCCCTAGGCATCAGTGACTGCTTCCAAAAACTGGAGTTGGCATGCTAGATGAAGTTCGTTTTGGACTCCTTGCCTATCTTATGGTATCTGAGAAGATATACCATTTATTTTGAATCCCAGTGTTTATCTGGAAGTAACTGTCTACTGAAGGTGGTCTGAATCAGGAAAAGCAGGTTTCGTGGGAAAGTTTTTAATCCCTTTATTCCCTGTAGATCTCCTTATCAAGACAAAAAACAAAAAGCCAAATATTATTCTTAAGGCTTGAAAAGTAGCGAGACTTGCTAAACATTTGAAGAGTTTCCTCAGTTTAGTTCAAATTGGTGTCCAAGATAAAACCACGCTTTACTACAAGTTTTTTTTTTTTAATTGAAAGTATTTTGGTTATAATTAGTGAAAAACATTATTTCTTATTACAAAATGGGTGAAATTCTTAATATAAATCCATTGTACATGAGTGGTCTAATCTTGAATTTATTCCATGTTAAATGAAACTCATTTGATCTAGAAAGTTCTGGAATAACAATGTTATTATAAGTTCCAAAGCAACTACTGATTAAAAGGATCAAATGCATGATTATCTGTTCATAGCCCTATTGCTCTATGATGAAAGGAAATATAAAACATCAGAATTTGATAGATCTAATGATTAAAGGATCTTAAAATTATTGGTGAAAATGTTAGCATTTCAACTGAGTTCTTCAGTTCATAAACAGGAGTAGGTTTAATTCTTTTGCCTATATGTTGCTGGCTGAATTGAAAAGAAAGAGAAACAGAAAGCCTTATGAGGTGGTTCAAAGCATATTTCCATTTGTAGCTATGTTAGGAGATTCAGATCTTTCTAATGTATAAATCAGACATTTATATTTCTGAGGTTTGACGGTTGAGAAACTTCCAAAAGGCCAAATGCCACACTATCCAAAACTATTCAATTTTTGGATACACATGCAGATTTTGCCCAAAGACGAGTTACCCTTACTTATATCTCATTTTCTAGGAGTTAAAAATACATATGGCTGGTGAATACAAAGAGGATGATGAAAAATACTTGCAATTTTATTTGCAAGGCCAGTAAAATTAAGATCAAGAGAGAAGTCTTTCAAAATTTATTCTATCTATCCCTTATTCAACTTTTACACTGATAGAATTTATTTCCACATTTTAAGATAATTACATGTTTTCATCTTGAATATTGCTAATGTCAGGGGCAAAACCATACATCTCCTGATAAATAAACTTAGCTTTATTTTTTATGTTACAGATTTTCCGAAAGGAAATAAAATCACTTCTTTTCCTTATACAGCTTACTTCAATTAGTTCTTCTTTCTCCACACAACTTCATAATTCTTGCCTCAAGCAGAAAAATGTGTAAATGGGTCTTTGTAAGTTGACCACAGACACATAAGTATTAAGAAGTAAAGGAGGAAGAGCAGTAGCCCATTATATAGGGCTACTCTGCCTCAGCCTGGGACATAGCAAGATAAGACCTAACATATTTGCTTATCTTATTTCTCTCCCACTTTACATACACTTTACAAAGGAAGAAAAGGAATATTACAGATAATGGTCACCTATGTGAGAAAACTGGGAATAGGAGAGTTTCATAGGAGAAAAATCTTATTCCCCAAAGAAGCAAGAATCTTTGAATTCTGATCACTTTCCAATGTACAGGATCTGCTAGAGTGTTTCCCTAGCTCTGCATCAAGTTCCCCACGTCAACACCACTTGCAGAATTAGTTTGCCTCCATTTTTAGATGTGGTTCCATTTGGTTTTTACTACTGTTTTAGAGCCAGAACGCCATATTGATTTGAGTGATAACTCACCCAACACTGGTTTCTTTGTCATGGTAATTTTCATCCATCCTGTTATTTTTCATTATTTGTTTGGAGAAGAGTTCAAAGTACTTACTGGGTTGAGGACTACAGTGAAGAAAAGTTCACCTCCTTGGATACTGTTGTCCAGCTCTTTAGGACCTCCTGGATATTCTTTGTAGAAAATTGTGTGAGTGAAAAGCCCACAGGTTTGTCTTGGGAGAACCTGAAGGAAAAATGAGTAAGTAAGGAAAAAGTTCCTTTCAACCAATTAATCTGTTCAATCTGAGCTCTCTTTTTTCTTATGGAAGATGATGCATAAGCTGGTGTCATTATTCAGCTCTAAATAAGGCTCAGAAAATCCTTTACACTCTGAGAAAGCAAGGATGACATCAGTACAGATGGAATACTGAAGGAAGTGGAAGAAATATTTTAAAAATAAGATAGGCTTGGGATAATTTTAGTCACTTATCTATTTTAAATCTCAGAGTCAGTACTTCTATTATGAAGCCCAGTAGATTTAAACATTTTAAGCAATTAGAAAATATAGAAGAAATAAAAACGATACTTTAAAAAAATATTTAAATTATCTGTGCTACACTGTAATTCTATTCGGCAAAAATTTTAATGGTAATACTTTCTGTCAAATTCTACACATGCATTAGAAAATGAAGTCAATTATTAACTCAATGTGCTTCCTAGGAAATGACATTTTTAATTTGAACAAATATTTGAGACACAAATCACAGTATCTTCCCTGGAAAAGACTACTGCAGGCTATAGTTGATGGCTCGAATTCTAAGTCTGAAGTTTGCCAGTTCCAAAATTGAGAGAGAATATGCATTTGGTTAGTAATTTTTTAATAAGCGCCACGAATATACATCACAAAATGGTAAAAGGTCGCTTGGTAAGGTATTCTTTTACATTTATGTATTTGAAAGCCATTATTTGCTTCAATTGTACACACTGGTTATAAGGATATTTTTTCAAATTCTCACTGCTCCCCTGGTAAAATATCAGTGCAATTATAAAAGATGTGAACTAAAGCTGTGCAAGATGGTACAGTCTTCAACTAAATCTTATATGATTACTTTATTATATGATCTGTGTTTGTCACTATACATCTGAAGTAGCAGAAAACTAATGAATATACTTTGGAGAGTTACAAATTTTAGAGAATCTTACACAGGCAGGCCTTCTGCTTATTGTCCTAATCGAATTGATCTTCATGTTTTCTGTCTTGAGTCTTAAAACATAATGTTAAATTTGGTTCAGTAAGTGTTTTCAAAATATTACCTGTGCAGGATTTCCATTCTTTATAACCCTCCATAAATATACTAGTTCTTTCTCCTTTAGTTTGAATTATAATAAATTTTAATCTAATCACTGGAGTGTTTTCTCAGAAAATAATTCTCAGCTCTATCAATATGTCATATATTGCTGTATAAATGGAAACTGTATACATCGTATTTGTTTTGGTAAGCTGGTAAAGATTATATTCTTAGAGGCTATTCCATCTTGATGAAATGGTTAAAAAGGCTTCAGTTTAATGCACAGACTATTAGCTCTGGTGGTGTCTAGGTTTAAAAGTATTATAGAACTAGTTGCTGTCAAGTTGATTCTGACTCATGGAGAACTCATATGTGTCAAAGTAGAACTGTGCTCCATGGGGTTTTTGATGGCTGATATTTTTGGAAGTAGATCACCAGGCCTTTCTTCCAAGGCACCTAAGTGTGAACTCCAACAGCCAACCTTTCAGTTAGCAGCCAAGCACGTTACCTCTTTGCACCACCCAGAGACAAAAGCATTACACATTCTCACAATGCTATGCACAGAATCAACCACAAAAAAGAACTAAATGCAAAGGTAATTCTTACTGGATTATATATATTTACTACCAATTCTTGGAAATGCCATATTCTGGAAATTAAAGCTTTATATACCACATATTCATTTATTTAACAAATAACTTATTCTAAAACTCTATGCTAGTCCATGTGGGAGAATGTGAAAGTATGTGTTTTCTATTCTTGAAGAATTTAAGATATATTGGAAGGCAAGGAGAAGTAGCCAAAAGCTACATAATAAAATGCCTGCATGTAATTAAATGTTAGGTTAGCATTAAAGTGTATGATTCTGAATTACTTTTAGGGTTTGGTTTGAATATCTTGCTTGAAAAGTTATGAAATACATACAGGGCTGTCCTTGGGATTTGATTGCCCAGCTGATTCTGTGCAAAATGGAGACAGAAGTGAAAAAGAAATTTGAGTTTTGTCAAGTTTTCAAATTACCTGAATTTGAACAGAGTGAAGAAGAAGTGCCAGAATTTACCCTGCAACTCTGGGGAGGACCACACTTCCTGGGAGTATGAGGGTCACCAGGAGACCTAGGAAGGCCAATGGACCAGGTAACTAAAGAGACAATCAGGAGTGTGATAAGGATCATATCTGACTGTCTTGTTCCCTGGATGCAATGCTATAGGCTGTAGAACATGTTCCCTGAAACAACTCTCTTATAGTAGAGAATGCATGAGAGAGTTTTTAAAGCATTCTGCTGTGGACTGCTCTCTAGAATTAGTCCTGGGAGTAACACTATCAAATTCAAACTGACTTGATGAGTCCCTGGAAACCTTACAGCAGCTAACAATAACTGGGAGATGCTTATCAAAAGCATCTCCAACAATGGAGCTGAAGCCAGTATCCTGTACCTAAGGTCTAAAGCATGAGCAACTACCTACGAATGCTTCTGAAGGCTACCAGTAAAGAACACCTAGGAAGCTGCCAGTAGGATTACTAAATCTCCACCAATGGGCATCACGATTAGAAACAGTAAGTAGATAATCAGAGTTGTGGTCTAATCGCTTAGAGGTCTCTGGCTGTCTCCAGGAAGTTGCATTGAACAAGTAGAGAGTCTGGGTTTTCATTCAGTTCCTTACTGAATGAGGACTGCCCATTAGATAATACAATAGGACTGCCCAGAGATTCTGGCTAGGACTCAAATGCCTTGAAATGTAATTGGCTCTTGTGTTCCCAGTGGAGTAACAAGGATGATGTATTATAGGAGTTCAGAGGAGGGGGATGTTGGAAATATAGAACTGAATTAGTGATGGCAGGATCAATAGCTGGTTTGAGAGGAAGACAGTGAGTTTCATTTTAGGCATTTTGAGTCTGACCTGTGAATGGATCATTAAAAAAAAGAAGATTTTCATTGTCCATTCCATACACCAAAATATGGACATGACGTAAGGTTCACTCCTCAGTTCCCTGCTCTTTTTTTCTTTGTAGTCTCTCCCTAACCATATGCCACTGAGTGGATTCCAACTCATGGTGATCCCTTGTGTGTCAGAGTATAATGGTGCTCCATAAAGTTTTCAATGGCTGATTCTTCAGAAGTAGATTGCCAGGCCTTTCTTCTGAGCTGCCTCTGGCTGGACTTGAACTTCCAACCTTTCAGTCAGCAGTGATCCAGTAAACCATCTGCACCACCCAGGACTGTTCGTTCTTGAGATCTCAATTTGCATCTCTATGTGGATAGCGCAGCAGCCCTGTCCTCCCTCTCTTCCTGCATACTCAACCGCCTGCTGAACATTTCCTACTTGAAAATTCTCATCCAAGAGCTTACAAACCAAATATAGAACGTTTCCTTAGATTGCTGCAAGAGTGGAACCACAGGGACAGTTCCATCAAAACAGGAAATCTATTAAAGCCTTTATTACCTGCAAGATTCATGCATTCTAATACGGGTAAGATATGTTTTCAGGTGAAATGAAAAATGAACATATCTCATGGGACATATCCAAGCAAGTTTCTCGGCTGTACAGAGAAACAGAAACAAAAGAGAACAACATTGAATAAAGTCCTTAGAAACTTAAGCTTACTCTTCTACAAAGACTGCTTATGATGTTAAAATGACAGGAAAGTACTGAATGCTTGTAAATGATAACATAACCCAAGTCTCCTAACCTCTCTGGTCACAAGGCTGGCAGCTTGAGGCACAGAGAGTTCATTTTCAGCAGAGGAAGGGTAGGTTGGGGTACCATGTGGCCGTGATATCCCGATTTAGCAATTACAACAGTTTTATTGACGGAAAAGTTAAGATGGGAGTTGATCCAAATTAAATGTCATTATCCACTCTCTAATTTTTACAGATATTATAAAACTGTTTGAGGAAATCAGTTACACCTTATTCTAGAAGGTAGACATCTGTTCAAACACATCAGCTTGACAGAGTTATGGTGCTTATCACATAGTGTTCTTCTGTGTGGTCTCTCCAACGTCTAAATCTCACTCAGGAGGCCCATTCCCTGGATTTTCTGATTTGAGAAAAAATTAGGATTTAACTACTTACTTTGTACAGTCTCACGAAATATCAGGTGATAACTGTTTAAGTTAAATGTCATGGCAATACACACTTGTTACCAAGGATTAAAAAAAAAAAAAAAAAGGGGCACTGAAGAGAATTAGACAATGAACATAAATGATTTAATTGACATTGTCTCTCATTTCTACTCTATATTGTTGTTGTTAGGTGTCATTGAGTCAGTTCCAATCATAGCGACCCTACATACAACAGAACAAAACACTGCCGGGTCCTGCATCATCTTCATGATCGTTGCTATGTCTGAGCCCACTGTTGCAGCCACTGTGTCAATTCATTGCACTGAGGGTCTTCCTCTTTTTCACTGACCCTCTTCTTTACCAAGCATGATGTCCTTCTCCAGGGACTGGTTCCCTCCTGATAACATGCCCAAAGTATGTGAGACATATTCTTGCTGTCATCTCTTCTAAGGAGCATTCTAGCCACTGTGTCAATCACCTCTTGAAAGGAGCATTCTGGCTGTACTTCTTCCAAGATAGATTTGTTTGTTTTTCTGGCAGTGCATAGTATAGTCAATATTCTTCACCAACATTACAATTCAATGCATCAATTCTTCTTTGGTCTTCCTTATTCATTGTCCACCTTTCTCATGCATATGAGACAACTGAAAATACCATGGCTTGGGTCAAGTGCACCTTAGTCCTCAAGGTGACATCTTTGCTTTCCAACACTTTAAAGAGGTCTTTTGCAGCAGGTGTGCCCAATGCAATATGTTGATTTCTTGACTGCTGCTTCCGTGAGTGTTGACTGTGGATCCAAGTAAAATGAAATCCTTGACAACGTCAATCTTTTCTCCATTTATCATGATGTTTCTTATTGGTCCCGTTGTGAGGATTTTTGTTTTCTTTATGTTAAGGTGTAACCCATACTGAAGGCTGTAGTCTTTGATCTTCATCGTTATAGCTACTCTATATTATGATCTACTAATGATTACGCAGGACTTCACATGTGGTTTGTTGCTGCAAATAGTTGAGTATTTTCAGCCTGACATGGTAAAGAGTAGAACAAAGCTTGACTGACTTGTAAGAGGGCAACACGGTTAATATATACAAAGTTGGTATTAGTTTTACATATTAATAAGTTTTTGAAGAAATGATGGCTTCTAAAAATTAAGTTAGCTGTAATGTTTCCATAGTATTTTAACATTAGTGCCTCCTTAATACCAATAGTGTCAAAGACATTTTAGTTATTTTTAAAGAACTGCAAAGAAGTGATTTTAATTAAAACATCCTTTGCTATATGACAAATATGCTTGCTGCAGCATGTGGTTTTTCATACAGTTAAGCTTTTAATATTTGGGTCTTTTCTTTTATTCTTACATCGAAGGAGAAATGCAAATCTGGCAGAATAAGTTGTACGCTAAGCATAATGGAGGAAGCTCACCATGATGTTTTTGTGGATGAAGCCCCTCCGATATCGAGCTGGTTTTAGATGTGGATACTCTTCAGTGCTGGTGATTTTAATATTCCAAACCTTCTTCCAGGCCTCATAAAGCTGAACGTGTACAGGGTAGACACCTGAGTGGTGCGGGGCCACCGCGTAGCCCATGTCAGTAGGAATGCCGTGCTCCTAAGATCAAGCAAATGTTAGTTAGAGCATGCGAACATTTATCTTGATCCTATTTTTACTCCAGGATTTTCAAATGTACTAAAAATTCATTTGTTTAAATCCATATTCTTAACTGCATAGCAAAATTAAAATCATAAATATTAACACTTCTAGGTTTCATGAAGCCTTGTAGCCATTCCACCAGTCTTAATGTTGATACATTTGTGTTTGAGCGATGGTGGGTCAGGACTAGTGATTTTAATGAGTTATCTGAAAGAGCCTCCATTCAACACATCCTTGTCATAGCCACTATTATGGATTGAATTAATTGTGTCCCCCAAAAAATATGTGTTGTAAATCCTAACCCCTATACCTATGGTTATAATTCCATTCGGGAATGGGGTTTCCTTGTTATGTTAACGAGGCAGTATTAGTATAGGGTGTGTTTTAAGTCAATCTCTTTGGAGATATAATAGAGCAGATTGAGCAAGCAAGCAGCACAGATAGGGGAAGATATACGCCACACCACATGAGATCTCCAAGAAGCCAAAGGAACAGAAGCTGAAGAGACCCAAGGACCTTCTCCCAGAGCCAACAGAGAGAGAAAGCCTTCTTCTAGAGCCAGCACCCTGAATTTTGACTTTAGCCTCCTAAACTGTGAGAAAATAAATTTGTTTGTTAAAACCACCCACTTGTGGTATTTCTGTTATAGCAGCACTGCACTAAAACAGCCACCTAGTCCTTCCACCACTCACAATTTCAACAAGTTAAATGAAAAACACTTGCTACAAGCAACACTCAATGCTCCCCACAAAATAAAATTAGCATTTATGAGTGGGACAGAACATATTCCAAGTTCACTAGGCTTGTTGACAAAATTTTCTTTTGCTTACTGCCCAGTTTCAATCACGTTTGTCACATTTCTTTTGGCCCCTCAGTGTGTGGGCCAGTAAGAGACAACGTTCCCTGCCTGAGGAGAAGCACACACTTTCCATTGGATAATATGGTAAAATTCTGTAGAGCAATTTTCTTTGAAGTAGAAGCCCTGCATTCAGTGAAAGTAGGAGGTTCTGAAAGTGCCGAATAATCTAAGAATTTTAGTTAATTTGAAGTAAAGTTTTTGTACATAAAATGACTTGACAAAACAAGTTTCAAAATTACACACACACATGAAATAACTAATCACATGTCATGGTGCTTCTATTCAGACGGTTCTGTCAATTCCAAAAATAAACTTATGTGGTATCCGCTTTTTTTGGAGGAGGGATGGGACAATACTGTATAATTGTGAGTATTCTACTCCACTTGAGATGGTCCATTAATCCTGATAGAGTCTCTTTGGCATAGAGAAAAATAGCACAGGCATAAAAGATGAAACCTGTCTTTTACAAAAAGAACACCCATGGCTTCAGTAGTTGACATGTATTTTTTCTTCTGAGTGCTTTTTTATTTTCCAGTCTGTGCTTTTCAATTGCTTTATAGTCTCCTAAGCTTCCACTCAAATAGCTTCCTTTCAATTAGTCATGGCTTCTCTTCATGCCAAAGAGCAATTTCACATACAGAGAACCACAATGTCAGGCTTCTAAATGTACTGGATTGTAGAAATACGCTAGAAATTTAAATGAGAAAGGTGCAAGCATGGCTAGCTTTATTTTTCAACCTAAATAATAACAGGAGAGAAAGAATGAATATGAGTACCTGAACACAGAAGGAAAATGGGTTGCAAATGGTTTGCCATTTACTTAACTACCGGTTCAGACTCCTTCACATGGCAAAAACAACCCTCAAAATTTGGTCCCAACCTACCTCTCCTATTATCATCTGATCCCTTATTTCTGATGCTTTCCCTCATGTCTTTGCTATACACTGTACACACTGTCCTCCCAAGTGTAACCCTCTTTTCCTCTTATCTTATAAACTCTGTTCGTTGTTCGCAACTCAGATTAGCCAGCCATAATTAAGGATGCTAGAAATGGAGCCACCATACTGCTGCCTTGAGAAAGAGAATGGGTGGTATTAGAGGTAGATGGACCATGCCTGTGTTTCAGGTGAGAGGAAAAGTTTGACGTTCTTCATTTTATTTGCATCCTTTGTGGAAATTACCGTGACTGTGCATTATTATATCACTTACAACTCCACTAAAAATAGAACTGAAAAATCTCATTGCTTTTTTTTTTCCTTTTACTGGTTTTTAAAAACTCTAATAAAGCAGTTTTTTTCAACAAAGGATCATGAACCCACACATAATTTTTGTTAGAAAAGGTCAGTGAAATATTCACCTAAAGTCGTTTAAAAATGGGGGTGCAGTAATAATGGATTAGATGAAAGAAAATGAATTTCAATCACAGAAATTGAAAGGAAAAATGAACAATCATAGATTAATATTTTTGGATGTGTATGGGAAGAAGCAAGGACGAAATTCACAATGTCAGGAACTAACTACATTATAAAATCAAACACCTCCACAATTTGCAAGAAGGTATATCCATAGATATAATATATAGTCAGTTGTGTCTTCAGGAATCTTGTGTAATAAAAGAATGGTCCCGCATGCAGGGATGTTTCCCTTATTTTGGATTGTTTAATAATATTTGGGGACCAGTGTAGACACAGTTTCTGCTTTTCCTTATAACTTTTAACACTAAAGACACACTAAGGCTCTTTAATCTTGCCTTTTATTTGTGTGCAGGTGCAGTGTGGCAGAGTAGTGGCAAACTTCACTTCTGGAGTCAGACGTATCTGGCTCATTTCACTCTCCCATCTGCCACCTGTGTGGCTTTGACTAGTAGGATGAGACCTGTCCCCTCTAAGCCTCATGTCCTGCTCTCTAAAATGCTGGTTTTAAGAGTACTTAGCTCAAAGGTGCTTGAAGGTAATTAAATAATATAATGCAGGTAAAGCATTTAGCACAGTTCCTGAAATATGATACATATTCAATGAATGTTATTTATTATTGTTGCCATTACTATCCTGCCTCTATTGCCTTTAGATGCTAGAATTCTATCACTCAAATATAATGTGGAAATTATGAAACTACTGAACCATTTTTTTTCCACTATAAGAGATAATAAGAGATAAGCCTTTTTTCTTGTTTGTTTTTCCTACTTCCAGTGCAGATGTTGGGATTTTCTTTCCTGAGATTGCTGTGGCAAACCCTGGCTTCTACCCTACTACCGCCTCCTGGGCCTGCCTCCCTCCTGATGGGTCCAAATGCCTTACAGCTAGCTGTTCCACGCAGTTCCAGCCTATGACTTATTGAGTGTTTGCAGGTCTCTTTTAAATGAATTTTAGATAAAGGCAACATAAATTAACCCCAAATCTTGTATTCGATGCCAAAAAGAATACCTGACATCTTACTGCATAGAAAAATTGGGCTAAGATTGAAGGTAGTATATTTTGGAAGGTAGATAAATTGCTAAATTCTTAGTAATTACTCTCTTCCCACTCTTTCAATTTGAGATCAAATACATATTATTTGGTAATACTGGGAAAAAGGAGCCCTGGTAGCACAAATGGTTAAGCACTCAGCTGCTAACCGAAAGGTCAGTGGGTTGAACCCACCAGCTGCTCTGCGGGAGAAAGACCTGGTGATCCTCTCCTATAAAGATTACAGCCTAGAAACCTTTATGGGGGCAGTTCTACTCTGTCACATGGGGTCACTATGAGTCGAAATCAACTCGATGGCACCTAACAACAACAACAATATTGGGGGAAAAAGTATAAAATAGTAGACATTTTAGCTTAAAAAGTTAATTCTCATTTTTAATTTTTTTAAAAAATTGATACTTGATTGAAAGTAGCATCTTAGATCCAGGAGCTCTGTAATCTATGTCAAGATTTTCCTAGCAGAGGACATGGACCAAAAAGACTGGGTAATATGACTGTTACTGTAAAATGTGTGTAAATACTTAGAACACAGGTGGGATTAGTTATTCTCAAAATTGAACTCGATCTCCGCTCACAGCCTCAACAGATCTGCTCTTTCTCCAGAGGTCTTCCATCTCATTAAATGACACCATCAATCATCAATCAATCAATTGCTGTGTGGTAAAGATAGATGCTATTCTTAACACCTCCTGCAGCCTCTTGCTGGATGCCACGGAGTCGATTCCAACTCATGGTGATCCCACGCGTGCACAGTAGAACTGCTCCATAAAGTTTTGGAAGCAGATTGTCAGACCTGTCTCCCAAGGCACCTCTGGGTGGGTTCAAACTGCCAGCCTTTTGGTTAGCAGTCGAGTGCTTAACTGTTTGGACCACCCAGGGATCCCTCCTGCAGCCTGATCCTCTCCTACAGTTATCATGTACTATCCATACTACCTCTAGTTTGTATCTTAAATCTATCCACTTTTCTCCAATTCTATCATCATCATCATCCTAGTCCAATCCATCATCTTCTCATTCCATGGGCTTCTGGCATAGACTCCTAACTATTCTCTCCATTTCCTCTCTGCCTCCTCCTGACTCATTCCCTACACAGCATGCACAGAAATATTTAAAAGATCATATTTGTATATGATCATGTGACTTCCTATTCAAAATTCTTCAATGGATTCCCTTTGCATTTAAGATAAAATACAAAATTCTAAGCACAGCCACAATCCTGCACGATACGACTCGTTTCTCTCTCCAGCCTCATTTTGCACCACCTTCCACGCTTCACTGTTTTTTAGTCACAGTTACCTTCTCCTTGAACTCCCCAAGCACTTTCCTACCTCTGTACCATGTGTAGTTTTCTTTGCCTGGAATGTTCTTACTCCAATTCTTCACCTGGATATATCTTACATCTTTTTTAGACAATTTATTCCATGTCCTATCTGCAGAGTAGTCTTCATTAACAAAATCCAAACTAAATTAAGTCCCTATTAAGACTTCTTTTAGTAGCCTTCAACTATCTTTCATACTACACAGTGAAGTTGGTAAGTACATACTTCTTTGTATAATTTCTTAGTGTCTCTCCTCTTCACTAAACAATAAGCTTCATGAGGTCTGGTCATGGTTCTGTTTTATGCACTGCTGTA